CGATTATGTTTCTAGGTTTGTCAGCACCATACCCATGCCCGTGGGTTTCACCAAAGTGGTAAACGTCTGAGACCTGCATCACTTCGGGCTTTCCTCCCACATTAAGCTGACACGCCGTGATATAACTGGAATACTGTTAAAAGCGGCGATAAGCCCAACTCACTCACTAAATATGGTAACTTTACCAGAATAAATTTGAAATATTTTTTCATGTTTACTCAATAAGAGCTAGGTGACAGACTGATTCTTGTTCTTCCAGACAAGCCAATATCATCAATACTTTTTGCACACCCAGTGCCTTTTTGCTCAAGGTCCTTACTAATCCTGCCAATATCATGTTTTCCGGTTTTCTGGTTCATCCATGATTTTGGTCAACTCTGTCGCACCTTCAAGCAGAATTCCTCCTTTTTGGTATTCCCTGTGCCTCTCTCTTTGTCCTTGTCACCAGGGGGTGCTCTGTTTTTACTCACCTCGAGGCATGTCAATTTCCAATTTGAAATCACCCCTGGGAGTAGTTGCATATGGGTATAAGGAATATGTAGCACAATACTGCCCCTCAATTAGGATTTCTATTTTTCACCACCAATGACAAAAATCTTGATCAAACCGAAATGTCTCCCTGGGGATGGGTGTGTGTTCTGGGGACAAGATGGTGTTTCCGTTAACCACTGCATTGTCCCAGGACACACTCCACCACCGATCAATCAGTAGCCACAATTTGGCGGAACTGTCATGCTCTTCTGTAGACTGATATCAATTTCGGTCTGTCTGATGCAATTTGCAATGAATATGTGACGCACTTTATTGATAGCGCCAGATGGTATGAACAAAACATGATAGTGGTTACCTTTTTTATTAAAAGGTCATGACAAATGACTTTATGAGACTGAACTGAATCGATTGTGTGTGTGTTTTTGTAAAATTCAGGCTTAAGCAAAGATAAAAGACAAATAAAATAGTTGTGTCAGGATTACATGATTTTGTTCCAACAGATTAGATATGTTTGGTCAAGATAGAAATAAATTTTCATTTGTGAATCTGTGCCCTGTTCCACGAAGCGATATTAGTGCTGAGATGATCTCAACTCCCATACCGGTACTTTAACATAGGTTGCGATAGTATAGATGTCAGTCCTAAGATAGAATTTTTGTAGAATGCAATCTCATTAAAATTTGATCTTAGTTCTTGCTACCGCTAAACAATGATCTGAGGACATCCCGTTACAAGTCACGTCAGACCGACATTTACCATACTTTGACAGACCAATGACTGACAAGAACTCAACATTAGCCAATCAGAAGGCAGCTTTCTCATGTTTTACGGCACCAGTTTCAAACTGGTGTCTACCCTTTGAAACATATTTTGACATATTCTCGATCAAAAATTTGAAAACTGAACAAAAAAACATTCTGGGGTGGCAAATAGATGGTCTAGATTGTATGGATTAAGTCATGAAGCCCGTAACTGTTGTTCGGAATACCCCATGTTAAATCTTTCGAGGTTGCATGATTTGAAAACATATTCAGATTGTCACTTTCCTGATCTGGTAAGCAATACTCTGATTGGTTGGATGAAAGGTTGTTCTGACGTGATCCATAATGGGATGTCCTCAGGTCTTTGTTTGTGATATGGCATGGGACTATGATTATTTTTTTCCTTCATTTTGATTGACATTATTTTGATCTTGTGTTTAAAGGAAAAAGTGAATGTTAACTGTGAAAATATCCAATATTTACTTTATAGATATTGTAGTACAAGAATTATCCTTTTATTGAGATGAGTTTGTTTTCTTTATCAAATATTCCAGTGTCATTTATTATTTTATCAATCAAAATTCCTATCTTTTTTTTTTCGACTATTAGGTTTTCTGATCCATCCAATACAGGCAGGCAAATAAAAATACTGGTTACTCAGTTGAGTTTGGGGTTGTTGAATTTAGGTTCCTCTCAGTTGATCAAAATACCAAACTTATTTTGTGGTAGCCTACTTCGTACTTTCCAGTACAGGTCTAGAAGAGGTGTAAAATCTGATAACTCACTCTCACATGACAGGACTACCCAAGTTCCACCTCATTCAATTATCTCTCGGGGCAGTCAGTAGCCTAGTGGTTAAAGCGTTCGCACATCATGCAAATTACCCAGGTTCGATTCCCGACATGGGTACAATGTGTGAAGCCCATTTCTGGTGTCCCCCACCGTGATATTGCTGATATTTTGCTAAAAGCAGCGTAAAACCATACTCAGTCACTCACAGTGAATCAATTTGCTCATTTGACTCAAGATTTTGCTGATATAGCTCTGTGACATCACGTAATGTCCACAACAAAACATTTCACTATTACGCAATTTCTTCTATACTGAACAGCAAAAAAAAAAACATCACCATGAATAGATATATGAGAAACCTTATTTGTCCAAACACTGTAAACACTCTTTGAGACATATCAAAAAGATGAAACTTGGCAAAACTGATCATCAAAGTTGAAATTAAAGTGTCAAATGTTCTGAAAGTGAAACACAACACTAGTCTCTGAGAAAATAGCATCACAAGTCAGTATCTCGTGTGTCAGCCATGTGCTGTGATGACTGCCGTGCAACATCGTTACATGGAATGGATGAGGTGGTTGATAAAGGCCATAGGCACTTGAGCCCACACTCTGAGGAATGCCTGATGCAGTTCAGCTGCAGTTGTCAGCCTTGGTCGGACGTCATTCAGCCGTCTTTGAATCTCTCTCTGCCATCTGCTGTTGAGATACAGTAACGGCTCTCGTCTGAGAAGAGGACTCTTCTCCACTGCTGGTGGCACCAATGCTGGTGCTGTGTTGCCCACTGAAGATGGTCCCGGCAATGACGTGGTGTCAGAATGGGGCCTTGGTGTGGCCTGTGACAGTGGAGGTGTCTGCTCGTCAATCATCGATGCACGGTGTCCACACTAATGTGTCGCTGGTGTGTCCCTATGGTCTGTCGAGCAATTTTTGCAGCAGTAACAAAGCGATCTTGAAGATACTGTCGCACAATCTGACGATCCTGACGTTGGGTGGTGACCCTTGGCCTTCCACTACATGGACCGTCATCTGTAGTGTTGGTGGTCTGGTACCGTGTTGACGGTATGGTCCTTACGTTGACTTGAAATGCATTGGCTACTTGCTGGGCGGTTTGTCCAGCTTGCAATCATCCAAGGGCTTTCTTGTCAATCTTGGCATGTGGTAGCAATTCAATAACGAGTAAATGTTATCCAATCTTGGTGGATTGTTATAGGGCAAGAAATGGGAGAACGCATGTGCATTTCAATTTGCACGGAATTCACATGCATCGGGTTACCATGGCCATTGCCGTGATGCGTTTGGGTGATCAGTTTTATTGTCATCTGCTTTGTTTTTTATTATCAAATTTCATTTTTCCAGAAACATTTTTTAGACACTTTGACAAAAATTACCCAGATATTTAAATGACAACTTTTCATGCAATGTTACTTGGGGTGATGTTTCTTTTGCAGTTCAGTGTATGTGCAGTACAGAACTTATCAATTAACCCACATATATTAGCAAGAAAATTATCATTACTTACAGCTTGTATCCAGTCAAGAGAAAACAATACACAAAATTGCCCATGGCCTTGCCTTCTGGTTTTTGAAAGGAGATAATGAATTTCATTCCAAAAAGCATCATGACACTTAGTAAGAATGTTATTAGCTTTTCCAGTCTTATGGCACCAACTCTGGATTTAAAAAAATGCAAGCTTACTGCAGTAGACCTTTAAAAGAAACAGTTGCACTGCAGTAGGTCTCTTAGGAACAGTCGTTAGGTCTAAGGAAAAAGAACTTGAAGACAAGGAAGTAAATTTGCTTTTAATTAAGGAGTTATGGAAATTTGAAGAGGAAAACAGAAGCCCAAGAGTAGGGTCTAATGTCACCACCATTAAGTGACATTTATACATAACTTTGATAGTATGTTCATGTGTGAGTACGGAAGTTTGTTTACATGGATACACTCGGAGAAGAATATTCTGAATACTTAAACCCTAAACAAGTTGAAAATAAACCCCAAAAGAATTTTTTTGTGTTAAATAGAGAGTGAGTGAATGAGTGAGTAAGTGAGTGAGTGAGTTTTACTCTGCTTTTAGCAATATTCCAGCAATACCAGAAATGGGCTTCACACCTTGTACCCAGGTCAGGAATTGAACCCGGGTCTTCGGCGTAACGAGCGAATGCTTTAACCACTAGGCTACCCGACCGCCCCTTGAGTTGAATAGGACTATAATGATGAAAACCAAAGAACATCCGAAGATATATGCAGTTTGACAGTTATCAGACTAATAGTTGTTGAGAATTGGGTCAAATCATTATTTAAAAATGAATTATTTTTTATTATCTGCCTGTTGTCATGTAGGCATGACAAGCCAATACTTTAACCACTAGGCTACCCCACCGGCCCTTGTTTTGCTGTGACAAGTCATTAAATATGCAGGGGTCTGTGATCTATTGAATGTGCAATGATCAAGAACTTGCAGAAAAAGTGCTTGACACTAAAAGGCATCCATGAAGATTTGAGTACAGTACTGTAGGTAACAATGCCTTTCCTACACCACCATAATGAGTGAGTGAGTGAGTGAGTATGGTTTTACACTGCTTTTAGCAATATTACAGCAATATCATGGCAGGGGACACCAGAAATGAGTGAGTGAGTGAGTATTGATTTATGCTGCTTTTAGAAATATTCCAGCAATATCGCCGCAGGGGACACCAGAAATGGGCTTCACACATTGTACCCACCACCATAATGAGTGAGTGAGTGAGTATGGTTTTACGCTGCTTTTAGCAATATTCCAGCAATATCGCCGCGGGGGACACCAGAAATGGGCTTCACTCATTGTACCCACCCCTGTAATGAGTGAGTGAGTGAGTGAGTGAGTGAGTGAGTATGGTTTTACACCACTTTTAGCAATATTCCAGCAATATCGCCGCACGGGACACCAGAAATGGGCTTCACACATTGTACCCACCACTGTAATGAGATGGACAGCAAACTTGAAGCATGGCAAGGAGAGCTTGAAGAGGACAGCTGTCTAGGAAGGCCTGTGATGACAGCAACACTAGAAGTGATCCAGAGAATCCATGACATAGTGATGACTGGCAGGCGATTGACTGACTGTGGATGAAACCTGAGTTCAAATAAAAATCAAAACAATGGAAGTATTTGACATCACCACTAACTAAGAAAGCACAGACTTGAAAGGCTATGACCTACTTGTTCTGGGGTGCCGAAGATGCCATCATGGTCATCATGGTGGACTATCTTTCAAAAGGGCAGACAATAAACAAAGCATATCATGCTGCACTTTTTAGGCAACTATTGATGAAATTAAGCCTAAGAGACGTGGAAAGCTGAGAAAAAGTGTGCTCTTCCATCAGGACAATACGCCAAGCACAAATCAGTCATTGCCATGGCTACAATCCATGAATGTGACTCTGAACTCAGCATCAACCTATTCTCTTGATCTGGCTCTGTCAGACTTTCATTGGTTCCCCAACATGAAGAACGCTCTATCCAGAACTCAATGATGTCATAGCTGTGGAGAACATTTTGGTACAGTCAAGAGAAAGAATTCTACTAAACTGGGACAAACTCCCGCCAAAGGTGTGTCACTGAGACAGGGGATAAGGTTATGAGATAAATCATTTTAAAGTCTTTGGGTCAGGTCTTTCTGTACGAGGCTGAGAACTTATAAATCAACTCTCTTAGAGCCATTGGACTTTCTGCGCTGACCTTGACACCTGTGACAGACTGGTAACCAAAACCAGAAATACTAACCTGGTTCTCAGGCTGTCTAGAGCCACGATACTTGATGTTATAAAGCTTTGATACAGGAAGCATTTGTTTTTCACAACAAGAAGTAGTAATAACTTTGTTATAAACTACAATCATATAGGACTTTCAGTTTTAAGGGGACACCAGAAATAGGCTTCACACATTGTACCCATGTCAGGAATCGAACCTGGGTCTTCGGCGAACGCTTTAACCACTAGGCTACCCCACCGCCCCAGCTTTCAAGTTGGTTTGGTTGGTTGGTTTGTTGTTTAACGCGCACTCAGCAATATTCCAGCTATATATGATGGTGGTCTGTAAATAATTGAGTCTGCACCAGACAATCTTGTGATTGATATCATGAGCATCGATCCACACAATTGGGATCGATGACATGCATCAACCAAGTCAGCGAGCCTGACCACCCGATCCCGTTAGTCGCCTTTTACGACAAGCATAGTCACCTTTTACGGCAAGCATGGGTTGCTGAAGACCTATTTTACCCCGGAATCCCAGCTTTCAGGAAGTTTTATGGTAGACATGTGGAGGACATTTCCAAATTTGAAGCATCAGTGACAACAATAATGTCCAATGCAATTCCCTATTTTGAATGGTACCATACGTTTTCCTGTTTTTTCAGGTGAATAATTGACTTGCCTTTGCATGTGTATGAGATGGTTGCCACCAGTGGGGCAGGGTACCTGGAAGTTTTGTGAACACCATGTATCATCACTATATCACTATTTGAGAGTGATTCATAAACACATGCTTCTGATATCATTGCAATTAATTGTACAGTGGGCTCTGCTTTAGTAGAGATTATTTATTGAAAATTTTTTTGTCACTGTTTTATTTTATGTATTGACTTATTAGTTGGACTTTTCTCCTACACATGGTTCATATGATATTTTCAAGCATTTTCACAATGCCACAAACAGTTTTAAAAGAACTGGTTTATAGTCATGACTACACAAATATCACGAGATTAAATAGTGACAATTACACAAGGAAAGCTCCTTTGACACAAGTACAGAGTGTGAGACTAACTGCATTACTCATTCAAAGGATTATGTGTAGACAAACATGAGTTGATAACAGACAGCATGATGTTGCCTTTTAGCATAATGGTTGAATTAATGTATGGTGAACTGCCACTTCCACCTACACAGGGTCCTAATGAGATAATAGCATCAATTGTCTGGTACACACATCAAGTTTCATAGTGTTACCCAGTACATGGAAACCAGGGGTTCCACAGATGTTCCAAGATATTCCACTTCATTCTCTATATTGTATGTATGAGGCATGGGTGGCTGGTGTGTCTGTTCAAAGGTGATAATACTAAAATACTGTATATAGCATCATTAAAACAAACACATTCATTCACTCACTCACTCACTCCATGACTTCCCTATATGAGTACAGTGTGTGATGCCCCGTGTCTTGTCCTGTTGCTGGAACATTGCTGAACATGGTGTGAAGTCCAGCTCACTCCAATTTATCAATCAACCACCCATCCACAAGCTCAATCACCTACCAAACCAAACCTCACTCACTCACTCACCACCCATCCACTAGCTCAATCACCTACCAAGCCAAACCAAACCTCACTCACCCACTCACTCACTCACCGAACATCCACTAACATTCTCACCCATCAACCCACCCACCCTCCCACTCACCTACCAAACCAAACCAAACCTCACTCACTCACTCACTCACTCACCGACCATCCACTAACATTCTCACCCATCAAACTCACTCACCTACCAAACCAAACCAAACCTCACTCACTCACTCACTCACCCATCCACTAACTTACTAACCCATCAACCTACCCACCAACCCTCTCACTCATCTACCAAACCAAACCACACTCACTCACTCAGTCACTAACTTGTGAGCTTGCCATAACTACACTACCGCTGACTCCAGTGATATCGCTGTACATTGTTCAATCCCTTCAGTTACACTCCTGTCATAATGATCGATGTTGCATGTCAGTGCATGTTCCTCATTCCTAATACTGTTGCCACAGGATACTGAACACATAAAAATATTATCCAAACACATTCATATTGAATAGAATGTGCCATTGTAATGTAAATAACATATTGCATGTTACATCGCACTGAGTCAGGGTGATCAAAGTGATCTGATCTCCGGGATGATTAATAAATTGTACAAGCTGCAAACAAAACCTGCACGAAACACAAGAAAAAGCCATAATTAAACATTACAACATTATTTTCAGGAGATATAAACATTATTACACTGCATCGGCCTGTATGCTGACACGACAAATATTTCTGTTAATTCCATTAACTGATACAGTTGCCTGTTGGGTATAGCTGTATAATCATATTTCTGGAGCCGTCTACCAGTCTCTTCAGCAACAGCCATGTGCAAGAAATGACAAGCATTGTTTTACCGTTAACCCTTTCTACCCTGAAACGCCACGTGGAAATAATTTCTGATTTTAGGACATTTCTGATGCACCTATTTTCAGTATTAAAGACACATGTCTATTTACGAAACAGACAGTTTTCCTCATAAAGTATAAGAATAGTATAAAATCTATATTTTATTCCTCTTCACTCTTTACTTGTAACAGTCATGTGCTAAACAAGAATCAAGATTTTATTTAGTTTTCCTGTTGCCATCAGACATAAGTTGGTGTAGCTGTGTCCATGTGAAAACGTGCTTTGTGTTAGCACTGACAAAAAGCAGACACAGATTTCAATAGTGTTATTCCTTAAATGCAACATTTCCATACATGATAGTAGCTTTATCAAGCAAGTGATCAGCTACTGAGTGGGATATGAGTAGACAGCAATGGGGAAGGACATGCTAACCCTTCTTGTGAACAGATGCTGTCATCACAGGTTTACAGTGATCCATCCAGGTTTCCATTGCTGTTTTGCATTTTGGGCCTGTTTCGTCATCTTCCCAAGACAAGGAGTTAACTGACTTTAAAAGTTCAGTTTCCACCCTTGCCAAACTAGGCTGTAATTCCTGGGCTCGATCGTAGCACCACCAGTGGTTATTACGAGTTATGTCCCTTCTAAGCCTTGTCTATGGACCAATCAGATTCCACCTCTTGTATCACTTGCATTTGTTTCAAACAAAACGGCGGTGCCCAGTCAAGACGATCCTGATCAATAATCAAGATCTATATTGTGATAAAACAGGGCTTACATCGCGAAGTGCATCAAATCACGTGAGCACCTTGATTAGAAACATGAAAAGATTTGGAAAAATATCTGTTGACAACGAGTTGGTGGTGCACATGCTTTGCAAATCCTGCAATCAACCGAAATCTGCACGACAGCTTACAAACCAGATTTCGATTTCAGTGCGTGATTTTGATTTGACTATGCATAGACTCGTTAGTCCAGCCAAAATGTAACTACATAATACCAGCCTAGTTCGGCAAGGGTGGAAACTGGACTTTTATACTCAGTTAACTCACTTGCCTCGGGAAGATGTGTTTCGTTGGTTGGTTGAGATTATTGCACTTACATAGCGGTGTGTGGAGGCAGTCTTTATGTTGCAATGCTAAGATTACCAGTACATTACCCAATGATTAACAAAACTAGGGTTACAAATGATGGTAGGGAAGAAGCCGGTAACACTGGGTCACTGCATCAGGAACATTGCTTCTTGTTGGTGGCCACTTTCTAAATCTAAGATGCCACAATTTGCTGTGCAGCGTTATATCCATAAGGCGTAGCAGGATACAGTGATTGGATGTTCGAATCCTAGTTTCCCTGATAATGATCCTTGGATTGTCTGCACTTTACCCATGCTTGTGGGTTTCAGCAGGTGGTAAACATCTAAGACCTGCATCACATTGAGCTTTCCTCCCACATGCTGCTGACCATGACACTGAAATATTGCTAGAAGAGGTGCTAAACCAAATCATTCATTTTGTTCTTAGAACATGGGAGAATGTTAACTGACATGTCCTTACAGCCAATTAAGTCATCTTAATATAGATGGAAACTGTCAGGTAGTACGCCACTATGACTAAAATAACCATACAAGACAAATTTCCCAAGACCACCATATCTTTGACCGCCTCCATGTGTCTGGTGGATAAAGCGTCTGCCATATCTTTGACCGCCTCCATGTGTCTGGTGGACAAAGCATCTGCCGGGAGAGCAGAAGGTCAGTGGTTCTATTGCTGGCTGTGTCATACCAAAACAAGTTTAAAGATGGTTCCCCATTTTACCTCACCTCACCATTTTGTTTATTCAAACAAATATATTTGGTTTACTGCAGCACAATAGGTACTTTAGTTTACATGATGCACCAAGTTCAGGACCCTTTTAGCACTGCACCCTCGGAGGAATA